AAATTCAAGAGGAAGCCTTCCTCCCTGGCCTTCACAGTGGAATAGGCCACTGTCCCCCTACCTGGGGGTGTTGTGGTCACCTGCCTCCACACATGCAGTGCTGACCACGGGGACGACCCACAGGGATTTGTTCTCCTTTTCCTTCTTCAAGAAGGCAGGGACAGAGCCACTTTGCTTTCCCAGTAAGCAGTCGACGACCTAGGGAAGCCCTGCACGCCTCCACACACGTCTTTTCAAAGGTGTTCAATAAGGTGTATCCCACAGCAGCCATCCTTTTTTATTTATTTGTTCTATTTTATTGAAGTATAGTTGATTTACGATGTTGTGTTGGTTTCTTGTGTACAGCAGAGTGATTGTTATACATATATTCTTTTTCATTTTTTCTTTCATTATAGTTTATCATAGGATATTGAATGTAGTTCCCTTTGCTACACAGTAGGACCTTGTTGTTTATCCTTTCTGTATACAATTGTTTGCATCTGCTAATCCCAAACTCCCAGTCCTTCCCTCCCCCACCCCACCTCCTCTTTTACGACCACATGTCTGTTCTGTGTGTCTGTAACTCTGTTTCTGTTTTGTAGACAGGTTCATTTGTATTTTAGACTTCACATGTAAATTATATCATACGGTATTTGTTTTTTTCTTTCTGACTTACCTCACTTAGTATGATAATCTTTAGGTCCATCCATGTTGCTGCAAATGGCATGATTTGATTCTTTTTTTATTCCATTATATATATGTACTCCATCTTCTTTTTCTATTCCTCTGTCGATGGATATTTAGGTTTCTTCCATGTCTTGGCTATTGTAAATAGTGTTGCAATGAACATAGGGGTGCACATATCTTTTCAGATTATAGTTTTCTCTGGATATGTGCCATTCTTAAGGATGCCGCTCTTCCTTCTATTTTGAGAGAAGTGCCCATTTATTTTCTGGGTAGCAGCTTCCCTCTGCTACCAAATAGCCTCCTCCAGCTCCCTGTTCAATGGAAATTGCCTTTTCTGTTGAGCCCTGTGCAGGGCTCCAAAGGTCTAGAACAAAACCCACCAAGCCCTCTCTAGCTTCAAGATAGTCTGTCACTTCTGAACATGCCTTTGTGTGACATCCCCAAGATGACAGGGGATCTCTTTGGCAGGTGATTTTGGTTCAAGTTCAGGGATTCCATCTTTCGCTCAGCAAGGGGGTGAGAGGAACTTAACAAAATAATCGTGCAAATAATAAAAGCAGTGATGATAATAAATGCTGACATTGATTGTATCTCATCAAGTGCCCGGCTCTGTGCTCAGTTCTTCTGAGGGGATCAGTTTCACTTAACAACTGAGCTCTTTTTTTAGGAGAGGAGGAAGCCGAACCTTAACGTCTAAGTCACCTGCCAGGATGACACAGCTAAGTGGCAGCCTAGGATGAGAAGCCGGGCAGGCTGTCCCAGTGGACATGAACTTGGGCAGCCTCTGGGATACAGTGCGGGACAGGGAAGCCTGGCGTGTTGCAGTCCATGGGGTTGCAAAGAGTTAGACAGGACTTGGTGACTGAACAACAGGCTGTCCCAGAAACACACTTCTGACCTTCGCTCTAGGGTCTATTCTGTCCATGTCCTGCAGCCCTGGGAAGAAGGCGTCTATAACAGTGAGCCCACAGGCCCCTGGCCACATGGAACATGTGGTCCAGAATAGGTTCCGAGCCCACTGCTCCCCTCACCTGGGGAGTTGCACACAGTGTGACAGAAGGAGCACTCTAGTCTTGGTCATGTGAAAGCTTTCTAATGTACAAAAATGACACAGTGGCTGGGCAGAAAGGTGAATGTGTGTTTGGTCACTATAGATGTTCCTTCTCCTTGCTGCATCCTAGACTCTGGGAAATGTCAGATCCCTTTCCATCCCAAATTGTTTCCCTAATTCATGTTCCTGGGATGAAAGGGTTAAAGCCAGACTGGCTGGAGCTTATTATTTTAATCCAGGATTATGGTGGTTGCAGAAGGAGGCTGCTGTGTCTCCCTGACCTCCCTGACTGGGAGGAAACGGTGGTGGTCCTGACTGGCGATCTTGATCTGGCTGTGCCTGGCTGGGAGGGGAGCTGCAGGCTGGGCTCAGCTGGTTTCTCCGCCAGGACATGGGGCTTAGATGGAGAGATCAGAGTGGGCGGGGCTTTCCTGCTGCTCTTTGTCCTGGGGGCAGCTTAGGACGCTATGGTTGGAAGGGCGGCTGGAAGGGCCAGGAGACTCACGTGGATCTCCCGTTTTCCCCCACAATTAGCTGTTTGAGGCATTGCTGCTTCTTGAGGGCCAAGCATCTGCGGGGTGAGCCCCCTAGGCAAGGACCTCAAGATTCCCCACCCGGCCTTGTGGTACTGCAGACTACCTGGCCAAAGACGTAGGTTCATGGGGTAGCAACGTGGATCCTCTCTCTGTACAAATCCAGCTGTTTACAGACAGGGAAACTGAGGCCCAGGGGAAGCATTCAGCCTCTTTAACCCGGTACCCCACCCGCTGAGCTCACAAGCCCTGGGTGTGCAAGCTGTCACGGCAGTGACATCAGCTCTGTCTGCTCAGATGGAAAGTCTTTGCCGAGCCACGCAGGGACCGCCCCAGCCCTGCCAGGCAATCTGCAGAGGGACCGTGGGAGCGGGGACCTTGGGCTGTAGTCAAGATGGGGAGGGGTTGGCTCCAGGGCTGTGGGCACGTGCGAGTGGAGGGTCTCCCTCAGATAGCGGAGTGTGAACCTGTCTGCCTGGCGGGGCCGGCGGCCCTTGAGTGGACCAGAACAATGCAGCGAAGTGGGGGTGGGGGGAGACTAGGGCAGTTCCTGGAGCTGCACCTGCTTGCCCCCTGCCGCTGAGGAGAAAGACCCCTTTCCAGCCACAGGGCTGTCAGGGCCACCTACTCCAGAGCACACCATGACCGAGAGCCAGCTGCCCTCCTGACCTTGGCCGCTGTCTGGGAAGGTGGCTGCCTCTCTCCTCCCTGCTCAGTTTGTTCCTGCGTGGATGCCTCCAGGCGCCTCCAAAAAACCCTGCTTTTCTAATCAGTGGAGAAACCGGCTTTGTCTGCCAGAAACCAAAGCAGGGCAGCTGATGAAAAGGAAAAAAAAAAAAAAGCACCAAGTAGAGGGAGCAGAAAGAAAAAACAGAAAGCTGGAAAATGGCTTCGAAACCTGGGGCGAGGCCGTTCCTGACAGCATCTGGCCAGCTGCCTGGAGCCCCCCTGCCTGCCCACCAGGTCTTGTGACAAATGCCCTCCGACAGCCGGGCGGCCACAGCTGTCACCGGAAGGCTCTGAGCGTGCGGGCTGGCAGCCAGAGGCCCGTGGCTGCAGAAGCGTCTCTCCGGGCTGGTAACCTCATTATCTCTGCTGGCGGAGCCGGAGCCCCGGGGAGCACAGCTGCTCTCAGCGCTGCGTTGGAGGCCCTGCCTGCTCGGGAAGCTGCACAGAGGGCTCCTCGCCTCCCAGGGCAGCGGGCCTTGGGAGCTCACTCCTCATTCTCTCCTGGAAGCCCTCCTGGTTCCAGAACCATGCCTGGGCCCTGCCAGGGTCCATAGGCACAGATGGTGCCTTTATTCTGGCAGTTCTTAGTTTTTATCTTGGCCCCAAAGCAGGATTAGGTGCAAATAATGGGAAAATAAAAAGAAAGAAAGAAATCATAGACTGCCCAGCGCTCGTCCAAGGTTGTCCCAAGGAGGCCTCAGGGTTGGACCATTTTCCACTCACATCTCTATCATCCGTCACCTAGGAAACGACTTGGTACCATCCCCCCCCTGTCAAGATGAGTCCCCTTTCTCCAGGTGACATATGGGCTGGGGAAGGCACGGGATTTGGCGGGCTGCAGACTGAGATGCAGGCTGGCCTGAGCCTCTAGCCGCCCAAGTCCTCCTTCTGCGGACCCTCCCTGGTGAAGACAGCCCAGCGTATGTGACAGCGAAGAAGGGCAAGGGCAGCCGCGGGGGGTGCAGACATCGCATCAGAGAGTGTGTCTGGCTTCAGCCACAGCAGGCTCGGCCGGCTCTGGGACCCGGGGCGGGGAGGAGCTGGAGGATGCGGCAAGGATGCTGGAGGCAGTGGGGCTGGCTGTCGTCTGCTCCGCTTCACTTGATGTTCAACCTTGATCGACACACCACATGTTCCTCTCTGCTCAGGAACACCCTCATCTGTCAGGCAGAGAGCGCAGCTGCCCCTGGGTCAGCCTGCCTGCGGAGAGGGCCCTCCGGTCAGTGGGAGGCTGTGGGGCGGCTATTATCCCTGCGACTTGCCGCTCTGTCACCGGGAGATAGCTTTGAAAAAAGGCTGCTGTCATTTTCAGCAGCTCTGGACTGGCTGGGGAGACAGCGCAGCTGGGAGGTGGTGAGGGCTGCTGGCGGAAGACCCTCGTTATGATGAGGAGGGAGCCGTTTGCTGATGTGGTGTGTGTCCAGCTTAGTTCCTCTCGGACCTGACCTGATGTCTGTTGGGTTAGGATTGGAACTGAGGCAGGAAGTCACCGGGACTTATAAAAATGTCATTCTCTCAGAGGAGCAGAGCGGTGATGGGCAGGGTCCTGATGCCTTGTGTCTGCGGTGAGCGCTCAGGACGGTGCGCTGTGAGCTTGAGTGGGTGTGTGTGGGTGCCGAGAGACAGAAGGAGAGAGGGAGGTGACGCGTGTGGAGACCATCTGGCTGGGCACAGGCCCAGCCCAGCAGCCCTGGGCCCTTTCCTTCCCCTCCTCCCAGATAACTCCTGCTGTCTGCCCAGGGAAGGAACAATGGAGTAATATGGATTCTCCCCTACCCTTTTCTAGATCCTCCTGGGGTCTCTGCCTCCAGTCTCTGAGCAGCTGTCCAGGGTGGGCCAGTCCCTTCCAGAGTCGCCAGGCCCCAGGCTGGTGCCCTCCGTGTGGGAGCTGGCCAAGGAAGGCTTCCATGCGGGGCTGTTTCTGGCACAGCCCTGCTCAACACTGTTAAAGCCCTCCTAATCCCTGTTATTTTCTTCTAATCCCTCCCCCCACCCGCTCTGGCCCGCGTGCCACGCTGCAGGACCTTCGGTCCCAAGCCGGAGCCCGTGCTGAGCCCCAGGCATGAAGAAGCCAAGCATCTACTGCAGAGAGCCCGCATGAAGGCCAGGACCCGGCCCGTCCGTGCCAGCCACGACATCGTGCCCACCCTTGCCCTGTGCAGCCGGTGAGTGGGGCCTGGGCCAGGCCGGCTGGTATGGGCTATGGCAGGAGAAGAGATGGGATCCAGCCAAAATGCCGCGGCTCACTCCTGCCCTGTGGTCCGTGTGGGAGCTCTTCCCATGTCAGGCATCACTTTCATTCTTTTAGTCAGTTAGTACATCTTCACTGAGAGCCTACGGATGACATGTTAGGGAACATAACCTGAGCCTCCCTGGGGCAACGGAGGTGTCACAGTCTCCAGGGAGAAGGACCAGCAGATGGGTCAGTACAGTTCTGTGGACTGTGGTGTAGGAGAGGAAAGACGTGTGTGTAGGGCTGGAAGTCTACTGTAACTCCACCTGGAAAGGAAGGGGAAGCTTGGAGGAGGTGGCTTCTAAGTTGGAGATTAAAGGAAACATAGATGTTTACTGGGCAGATGAGGGAGGCAGGGGTGAGCATCCCTAGGTAGAAACTGAGCAGAAGCAGTATTCTCAGGGGTTGGGCCAGAAGGCCCAGTGGAGGCCAGTCACGGAGGCCTCTAGGACTGATGGACAGTTTGGAAGCCTCCTGTAATAGCTAGGAGCCACTAAAGGATTTCAAGCAGCTGGGTAGCACCATCACCTTTGTATTCCAGTAAAGCTGCTCTGGCTGCAGGGACGGTTGGATCTGGGGATCTAGGGGCACAGTGTGCAGTGATGGGGGAGAGAATGGAGATGCAAGGTTGCCCAGAGCCGGAGCAACAGGCTTAATGAGGCACCAGAGAAGTGGTTAAGACTGGAAACAGACCGCTGAGTTCTGGCTCTGCCACTTCCTAGCTGTGTGCTCTTGCGAAAGCCCCTGTGCCTCGGTTTGCCTCTCTGCACAATGGGAATTATACCAGAGCCTGTCTTTCAGGGTTATTGTGAGGGTTCTGTGAGTTCATATAAAGTGTTTAGAACAGCCCCAGGCATGTAGTGAGTACCCTACAAATGTTACCTCTGACTGAATCATGCAATCACCTGGATGAGGGGAGAGTGAGAAGGGGGTGCATCCAGGATGGAGCCCAGGGTTCTGACTTGGTATCTGGAGGTTCGGGAACCCTCAGTGCAGGATTAGGCTTGGGAGGGGTGCCCTCAGAACCCCCACTGGAGATGCTTATCAGGCAGTTGGATACAGGAGCTGAGGAGGAGGACGGAGGTCAGACTGTAGATGTAGGCATCATCCCGATCTCACAGTGCTGGGGCCGTGAGGGAGGGTGAGCTCGTTAGGGACGAAGAGATGAGCAAAGAGCAAGTGGAAGGATGTTCAGCACTCCACATGGTAGCTACCCCTTGCGTGACATCCCATCCCTATCTCTGTGCCTATTCCATGTATGATGCGCCCCAAGGAATCACTTACAGGTGGAGTTGGTGGGTGCACCTGACCTGCAGTGAGGCTGCCAGCCCAGGTCCAACTGCCCCAGGCCCCAGCGGGACCAGGCCTGTGGCTTCTTGGGCACAGTGGGTACTAGAGGGAGCAAGGATTCTCAGCGGAACTGGACTCCATGCTCTTTGACGGGGATGCTGAGCTGGCTTATTAAAGGCTGAGGACCTTCCTGGCACCTTTGAGATAACTTCAGCAAGAGCAGAGGGCTGCAGATCGCCTCTGGGTTCAGTGTCACTGTGACTCTAGGAGAGGGGCTCAGGAGATTCTAAATCCTGGCGAGAGGTACCCAACCAGCTCCCCTTTTATCTCTGCATTTTGTGTCTTGTTTCTTTCTGGCTGGAGGACACTAGTTAGGAATGGGAGTGCCTCCTTTGAAGCATCCTGACTGTTCTTCTCTGCATGTATATGTGGCCCAGAGCCTTAGACTTCCATGGAGCCCTCCTGTTCCACTTTCTTTAGGTACTGAGGTTGAGTTGGGTAGCTGCAAAACAGGCAAGATTCTTGAGAGTTCCTTAGACTGCAAGGAGATCAAACCAGTCAATCCTAAAGGAAATCAAGCCTGAATATTCATTGGAAGGACTGATGCTGAAGCTAAAGCTCCAATAATTTGGCCGCCTGATGCGAAGAGCAGATTCATTAGAAAAGACCCTGATGCTGGGAAAGATTGAAGGCAGGAGGAGAAGGGGGCAACAGAGGATGAGATGGTTGGATGGCATCACTGACTCAATGAATATAAGTTTGAGTAAGCTCCGGGAGATAGTGAAGGACAAGGAGGCCTGGAGTGCTGCAGTCCACGGGGTCACAAAGAGTCAGACATGACTGAGCGACTGAACAATAACAGCAAAAATCTGCAAAGCAGACCTGATGATGTAAATGTACCTTGGGACACTTCCTCTTCCCCACATTGCATCAGCAGCTCACGACAACCCCAGCCACTAACCTTAAAGTAGGTTCCCTCTCACCAGGCTGTTCTCTGGCAGTAGAAATGCAATTGAAATGCAAGGTGACCCACTTTAGCAGCTGCTGTGTCCAGAAAAGAATTACTTTGACTTGGCAGCACTGGTGAATCCTCAGAGGGTATAGCTGAAAAATCAACACCAGATGGCTTGCTGCAGATGCTTCTAAAGGTTACGCTTGTCAGATCACCCTGGAGAGCCGTGCTGAGCTAACGTGGCGATGCCACATAGGCCCGGGGCCTCATTAGACGCAGGAGCCCCTCCTCCACCCCCCTGAGCCCAGAGACATCACTCGTTCCAAAGAGCAGCCTGATGAAAGCTGACGGAAGAGTGGGACAGACAGGCACAGCAGCCCCCAGAAGGTCTTCTTTATCTCAGGTCTAGCTGGAGGTGGCTGGGGCCATCCTGAACAGACAGGCTTTTCTAGGAGGTGAGGAGGGGGCCAGCCGCAGCTGCATTTTCGGAAGCGAATCAGTGCAGAAATGGAGAGCTCTTGGAAGCGCAAGCTCTTGCTGCTGGGGGGACAGGCACAGCTGGGTTGGTGTTCCTGGTGCCAGGAGGGCAGAACACACCCATGAAAGGCAGGACCTGGGGGGAGACACCTCAAGTGCTGGCGTCCTGTGTCGGTGGCCGGGTCGGGCTGCCTGTGTGGCTCTGACAGCACTGTGGTGGAAAGGGGCCTTTCCGCAGAGGCTGTTTGGCACCAGTGTCCGAGCAGACAGGATCCTCTCAGAGAGGGATGGTCGCGGAGGTGTTGGCAGTGCCTCCTGTTGACAATGTGTGGTGTCTGCTTGCTGCTGGAGTGCCTTATTTGCTCCACAGTTGTCTCCAAGATCCTCACCGTACCTTTATGCACGGGTCCCAGCACTGCTGGTGGGGACCTCGGTGATTCAGTAATTGAGCTGAAGGTGCCTTATGTGATTGGGGCTTCCCAGGTGGTGCTAGCGGTAAAGAATCTGCCTGCCAGTGCAGGAGATGCAAGAGATGTGGGTTTGCTCCTTGGGTTGGGAAGATTCCCCGGAGAAGGAAATGGCACCCCACTCCAGTATTCTGGCCTGGAGAATTCCATGGACAGAGGAGCCTGGTGGGCTACAGTCCATGGGGTCGCAAAGAGTCGGACATGACTGAGCACGCACACAGCAGCATACCTTATGGGATTAAGCTGTTCTGCATCTCTTCATTTCTTCTTCTTCTTAATGAAGGCAGTATTTGAGAATTGTATTTGATTTGTTTTGGGCATGCTGCTATATAGCATGTGGGATTTTAGTTCCCTGACCAGGATCAGAACACACGCCGCCCACCCCCACCCACCCCACCCGAATTGGAAGCACAGTCTTCATCACTGGACCACCAGGGAAGACCCTCCATTACTTCTTTTAGAACAAAAATGTTATTTCTACCTTTGGCATGAATTCCAGGATGACTGAGTTCACCAGCTTGACTGTAAAGTTTAAGGTCGTTTATGTAGCTGAGAGGACCTGGACTTCCTTTTTAGATGAGGAATAGACCACCTCTAAAGCTGAGTGTCCTTCCTCCTAGAAAGTACAGCCCATATGCTGTCAGCAGAGCAGGGCCTTACCCCCGGGGCCCAGTGTGGGGTGTTGTGTCTAAGCTGGTGTCCTGAGAGTCCAGGGAACCTCTCCTGCACCGGGCGGGCCTGGCTGACCGGGGCACCCTGCCCGTCCAGCAGGGGCAGAGCTTCTGCTCAGAGCGGCTCCTGTTGTTTCCAGAGGGTGAGATGGTGCTGTTTCTCTGGCTAGAGCCTTCCTTTCTGGGCAGGAATGCTCTGAACACCTGACCCAGGAGCCCCACACCGTCAGTGAGCCCGCCAGAGGGATTGTCTCGCCACCCCTTCTCAGGTCCTGACAGGCTCAAGAGATGCAGTTGCAGATGGGGTCCTTATCCTGGGTGCCAAGGACCGCAGCACCTCACAGTCACTTCAAGAGAACGGTCACCAGGTGTGGGGGGTCAGAGGGACTTCCCGGCTATGCTGAGATGAACAGAGAGAGACACTGCACCTCCGCACCAGGGGTGATTCTACCCAGGAGCTTTCCGTCTCAGCCAGACAGCCCTCTCCAAAGGCATGCCCACAGTATGACTTTTGGGGGCCCTAGGCACTCTGGCCTTCATGACTGCTTCCTCCATACTATGTGGGTGCGTGTTCAGTCATGTCTGATGCTTTGCAATCCAGTGGACTGTAGCCTGCCAGGCTCCTCTGTTCATGCTCAGGCAAGAATACTGGAGTAGACTGCCATTTCTTTTTTGAGGAGATCTTCCTGACCCAGGAATCAAACCCATGTCTCTTGCGTCTCCTGCATTGGCAGGCAGATTCTTTACCACTGAGCCACCTGTGAAGCCCTTTCCCCCATAAGTGAAGTTAAATTTTATGACCATGCTGGGTAAAAGGTGACTATATTAATATTATATCTGAGAATGTTTTCTTTGACTGTAAAGTGTATTTGTTTATTCTCTTTTGACTTTAAAAGAAACTGAAACATTTTCATTGGACCCAGGAGAGTTGTGGTTCCCAGGTACCGTGGCTATTGTGCCTGATGGATAAGATGGCCCTTTCTGCATATGGGTTCCAGGAAACAGGATGACTGACAGTGTATCAGTATTCCTCAAAGCAGCCCAGGATCTGCTCAGATCTCAAAGCAGGCAGATA